TGCAACAATGAACACCAGTGTGAAGGTAACAAGAAATGAAGAGTCCAGACTGGTTCAAATAGCTCACACTGTGTAGCTAGATATTAATTTGTCGTCAGATACTATGGGACATAACTGGAATTCCCTATTATGAGTCTTATTCAATTTTTCAAATGCATATCCTGATATTCCTTCAGAAATCCAAAGTAACATATATAGTTTTATCCCAAATTTAGAAAAAAACTTATATATCAACTCTGTAAGGTAAATTAGACATGGTCCAAAATCACCCAGCAAGCTTCATAATCAGGTGGATATTTTAAATCTGTGTTGCCTTATTTCTAGCCCAGAGCTTTTCTAATCCTTATATTCTGACACGATACATTGCCATAATAATACAAGATAGCATACATACATACATACATATGTATTAAGAATACATCTGGCCAAAATGTGAAAAGGAATTTATATATAAAGGAATTTATTATCTTCTGCATAAAGACTTCAGGCTGCACCAAGTTACAACAACAATAAAAGATATACAAATGGGAAAACACACATTTTCAACAGTTTGTTCTTCTGTTCCAATTTGTAATGTAATTTACACCACATTCCAAATTACCTCATTCTTAGTGCCTTCTTTTGAACTGCCCCTAATAAATTAGATGTCTTTACATTAACTAGGATTCCAAATATCCTGTTGGCATTTACAAGCTGATCATCCCAGTTCTCAAACAGAAAAAAAAAAATCAAGTATTTTTATCTCAACTCTGAAGGAACTTTTATGGCAGCTGTAATCTTTAATATGTGGGAAGAATTTGCAGGTTGGCTCTTACCAGCATGAATCTTCAGTCAATCAAAAACTAGACCATATGTATTCATTTCTTATAAATATATGTTTCCCCTCAGTTGACATGTAATAATAATAACCACAATAACCATTAAAAACAAACATTGGTAGCAAGATTTTTCTTTGCCAAACTGGAGATTCTGATGAGTGGAGCCATGTAGAGCCTTCAATTTAATTCCAAAAAGGTGTCTAGAGGCATGGGTTCACAATTCTTAGCCAATCTATTTTTCCTGAGGTCACATCGCAGTTGCAGAAGACAACAACACAAACCCAGGAAAAGATACTGCTACTTTAAAGTGTTGCAGACAGATGCTATGTTCACACCTCCTATATACTTTGAAGCACCTTTTTTTGCATTTCAAAAAATACTGCAGTGTTGATGACCTTTTCATGGGATAGCAGGCTATAACTTGATAACAGCAAAAGTAAAATCCTGTTATGTTCATCCCATCCATTTTCTGAAACAAAGTCATCAGTTAAATTATTTCCATTGTTAACTCTTTGTGGACATGCTGCAAATCCCATCACTCAAAGGGTGTCAACTGGAGGGAACAAGAAGACGAGTCTTCTCCGCTGTAGCCTCTGCTTTGTGGAATATTCTTCCATTGGATGACCCCAATCCTATGGGCTTTTTTAAATAAGGCTTTAAAAACTTGTTCCTGAACCAGGGGCTCCAAAAGTGTTAAGGGCCCCATTCCTTGCCTTTACTGTTAGTTGGTTAACCACCTTGGCTGCTGTATTTATTTCTTGACTGTTTTTATTGGTTTTCATTGTTTAACTGTTTTATAGTTTTAGAATTTAAGCCATTCAGTCACTTGGCTGAGATGGGCGACTATAGAAATTGAATAAAGTTGCATTTGTAAAATAAGCATTTATTAAACTTATTTGCGACCCGACTCTCAGTGATTCTGGGCAGCTCACCTCAAAGAAATAAATACATTACAATAAAATCAGTAAAAGATAAACGATGGAAAGGACAGACCAGAGTGAAACTAAGGTGTTCACTCTCCCTGGCTGTGCAAGGAGCCAGGTATTCACCATTCTCCTCAACAATAATCTTTAAATCTTCTCTTCTGGGGGCTATTCAGATGTCTGGGGGAATGCAAAAGTGCTGCAAAGAATGTGTGATTCTGGAGTCCCAATAGACAAAACTGTTTATGGAGTGTGCCAACCCTGCAAGAACAAAATGGTTGGGCACATCCTATGAGAAACAGGCAGTCTCCCAAGGAACTGGGCCATGTAGAATTTTATAGATGATAACCAGCACTTTTAAGGAGGAAGATTCATTTTACCCCACTGTAATATTTCTAATTATGATATTTATAATAATCTAATTGCATTGCAACAGACATTCTCCCATCTTAAAGTCATTTCTTAGAAGATGATAGTTGATCATTCTGTTGATATTTCATTTAGAAAATGTAACATTCCCCTTTAGTTAATAACTTAATTTCAACACAAAGCCAATCTTTCTCACTGAAAGAACAATGACTTCAGAAAAGAGCTGCGTACTACAATTCAAAGTTCTAGTAACATTTTATTACTAATATAGCTACAACACACATTGCAAATTCCTAGTTATAAAGCAATCTACATGAGTTAATACCCAAACCAACTCTTAAGGAATGAACTGTTTAAAGTGCTATTTGTCGCATAGATATTATACACTAAAATGATATAAGCACTACCTTGAACTCGGATTTTACACAACATGGCAAGGATACGAAATAAAATTTTCTCCAACATTTTCTTTTTCAGTAAAAGCAAGTGGATATTAAATATCCTTGATCTATTTCCACCCAGAGACAGACAGAATACAAAGGAAAGATATTTTTCCGTTTGCTCAAATCCAGATACTCCACCCAAGTAGGAGAGCATTAATTGCATTATAACATGGAAAAGAATGATTCTCTCTGATATAACAGCAGTGTCTTGATGACAATCCATACTTCATTAAGTGTATTGTGATACCTGAACACACTGACCCATACTGCAAAACCATGTAACAGATTCTTAAACACTGGATACCTGTTTCCTTAAATGAATTAATATCCCAGACTATAGACTGGAATTTCCTTGTAATTCTCCTTGCTCATCTAACCTTAAGCAGTTGCTTAAACAAATGGAAAGACAGCCTCTTCTCACAACGCCCTCACAATTTCCTACAGGAAAATATATACCACCTAAAAGCAAAGATGGGTAGAAGTAATCCTTTCAACAATTCACATACAACCATGTATATTAGATGTAAGCATTTTCTAATTTTGCATTTCCCTCATTTTCACATTTCTCTTTTATCCAGGAAAAGATTTTTAACCCCTTTTCTTAATTTGCTCCTAAACATACACAGGGAGATTGAATTGATTCCCTTATGCATAAATTAAGGACTAATTAATTTCCTCCCCATTTCCACAAATACACAATACGGCTTTATCCCTCAATACTGCCCTTTCTTATATACAAATAAAAGAATGGGTACCATGAACCTCCTCACTACAAATATAACAAGATGAGATGTAATTACCACATGGCTTGAATGTTTTAATTAAACACTCCTCCCAATATACGCAAGACTCTTCAATTCCCAGTCCATAAATTGGGAAGAGAGTTGTTATTATTTCCTTCCCATAGATATGGAGGGGATTTACTCTACAACTTCCTCATATACTTATAAGGAAGATTTATAAATTATTGTCTATACATTGACCAGGGGAATATCTGCCTAAAATTACAGGCACTGCTAACCTCCTCCTCATATTTGCCATTATACAAAATATTCTTTATTGGCCAAGTGTGATTGGACACAGAAGGAATTTGTCTCCGGTACATAAAGCTCTCAGTATACATACAAGCAACAAAATCATAAATCATAAGATACAACCAACGAAGTGATAGTCATAAGATACCAATAGGAGTAGGTAATAGCAAAGATGAGAAGGATAATAGTATTACAGTCCTGCTACTTGGTTAGATATTAAAAATATTAATTTGGCCCATCCCTTGAGGAAAGAGGAGTTCGTCATTATGACCTCTTTTATCAAAATCCTCTGATATTTAATAAAAGACAAAAGTGTTATGATCCCTTGTTTTGGAAGTTAACTCCGTTCCCATGCTCCCCCACCCCTATTCTTACCCCTTATTAATCCAGTATCCCTCACTTGAAGCAGAAAGGAATTAAGATTCCTTCTCCTGACCCACTCACCTTCCAAGCTTGTCATCCATCCATCATCTATCTATCTATCTATCTATCTATCTATCTATCTATCTATCTATCATCTATCATCTATCTATCTATCTCTCCTTTATCTTTTAATAACTCCATAATAGATTGGGAAAGCACAATTCACCTTCCTTGTACCAAGCTAAGTGTACAGGTGGGTCATTTCATCCCCCCTTGACCTCCTTTCTTTAGTTTATCCATCTTTGCACTCCACCTCTCACCCAAAAGCATGGACCTTTCATTTCAACGTCTTTTAATTCCCAATTCCTTTTGCAAGGGGGAAGAGAATGCATCCAGCATTTTTTACACGTATTAACGACATCCTCCTGCCTTTTCCCCGATCACAAATACTAAGGCCCCTGTGGCAAATAACATAAGCCATTACTTACAAGGGTAATAATCATCACAACACTGACGGGATTTATTTATTTATTTTTTATAACGGGGGGGGGAGGGGGGGTTAACTTCTCCCTTGTTCCTAAACAGATTTTTTTTTTGTTTTGATTCCCAGCTCCATCTCTAATCAGGGGGCGTCAGCTCCCCCCTCCCTCAATTCCCCCCTCCCCCTCAACTTGAAACGACGGGCTGGCCCCTCAGTTCCCTCCCCCCCACAGCCACCCGGTGAGGGGAAAAAGGATGCCGCACTTATTTTAACCCCCTTCCCTCAACACCCCTCCCAAATTGAGGGGGTGGTCTTTAAACACCCCCCCTTTTTTTTCTCGGGGAAAAGAAAAAAAGAGGGCGCCCCTAGACAGCCCCCCCCGACCTCCCCTCAGGAAATTGGATTTTTAAAAAACGGCCCCCGCTGACTAAGCCCCACAGTGAAGAGGGGAGAATTTCGATGCAAACCGTCCCCCCCCCCGTCCTTTCTGAGGGGATTCGGGCAGCGCGTCAGTCCAGCGGTCCCTCCCGCTCTCCATCCTTCCCCTTCCTCCGACGGGTCCTCCTCACCCGGTGGGCGCGCGTCAGGCTGAGGTCTTTCATGACCTCCTCGAAAGCCGCCGTCTCCTCGGCCTGCTTCTGGTTGTGCAGCGCGATCTTCTCGCTGAATTTCCGCGGGTTGTTCGACGACGCCGCCGCCATCTTCCCCCGTCCGCATCCCTCCTCCTCCTCTTCCCCCCCCCCCCCCCGATTCCCCCCTCCCACCGGGCTCCAGACACCACCACCAACCAGGCGGCGCCAACTGCGCAGGCGCGCCAAGGAGGGAGACGAGGCCGAAAGCGAGCGCCTTGCAAGGCTAGGACCGCAGTTCTGCGCGTGCGCCGCCCGAGCAACCAACAACACCCTCCACACACACACACACACACACACACACACAGAAAAGGCAGCCGAACGGTCCGAACTGCGCAGGCGTAAGAACAGGCAGACTAAGGAAAGGGAGGTGGAAGGAGGGCAGAGTCGCGACTTGCGAAGCCAACCTGGAGGCCAGGCGCTTTGGCGCACGCGCGGTACTTTCCTCGGTTTCGTCGCAACTCCTTGAAGCAGGCGCACAATGGATTTTTTTTTCTATCTCTATGGGGTCGAGTAGTTCTTTCCACGCTTGCGCGGGGGTTCTTCTTAGCCCCCTTCACACTTAGCAGGCAAGTAAGCGGGCTGTGTCACGCATGCTCAGAGCGCCTGTCCAAAATGGTTTAAAGAGCAACGCTGTCTGTCTGTTCTTTCTAGTGGTCCTTCCTTATTAGGGGGACTTTATTCTCTTTTTAAAAAAATCCCCTTCACATGTCTCTTTACTATTCCCCAGTAGTTGCATTTATCCAATAGCTTTAAATTGATGCCTGGATTTTATTTTTTATTTTTTTTTGCTCCATTTGCACCATCTTCAACTTAGTCTAAGTTCAGGGTTTCTAAACATTGGCAGCTTGAAAATGTGTGGACTTCAACTCCCAGAATTCCCAAGCCATTCATTATCTATGCTGGTTGGGGGATTCTGGGAGTTGAAATCCACCTATCTTCAAGTTTTTAAGGTTGAGAAACACTAGATGAGCCAACAAGCTTAGTTTGCACAAAGGACAAACCCCTAACCATTATTAAACTCTGGTTGTGGAATGGATTCAGAATAACACCAAGATGTTGTATACTTTCAAGATTTTTCAAAGACGCTCATATCAACCCAGGCTACCATGGCTTGTTTAACTTTGTTGTTGTTAGTTGCGAAGTCGTGTCCGGCCCCTTGCGATCCCATGGACAACTTTCCTCCAAGCCTTCCTGTCCTCTACCATCCTCTGGACTCCATTTAAGCTCATGCCGACTGCTTCAGTGACTCCATTCAGCCACCTCATTCTCTGTCATCTCCTTCTTCTTTTGCCCTCCATCTTTCCCAGCATTAGGCTCTTCTCCAGCAAGTCCTTCCTTCTCATTAAGTGGCCAAAGTATTTGAGTTTTATCTTCAGGATCTGGCCTTCTAAAGAGCAGTCAGAGTTGATCTCCTCTAGGACTGACCGGTTGGATCGCCTTGCAGTCCAAGGGACTCGCAGGAGTCTTCTCCAGCACCAGAGTTCAAAGGCCTCAATTCTTTGATTATGGTCCAACTTTCACAGCCATACATTGCAACTGGGAAAACCATAGCCTTGACTCTATGCACTTTTGTTGGCAGGGTGATGTCTCTGTTTTTTAGCATGCTGTCTAACTATGCCATAGCTTTCCTCCCCAGGATCAAGTGTCTTTTAACTTCTTGGCTGCAGTCCCCATCTGCGGTGATCTTGGAGCCCAGGGAAATAAAATCTGTCACTACCTCCATTTCTTCCCCATCTATTTGCCACGAATTGAGAGGGCCGGGAGCCATGATCTTAGTTTTCTTAATGTTGAGTTTCAAGCCAACTTTTGCACTCTTAACAAACTTAGAACAAACTAACCTGGCTGAGCAGTTATGTATTAATACAGTACAACCATTCTCTAATTATGGGGGGTCCTTTCCATGGATTTATTTCACTCAATTTTCAAAGCTATCAAGTAACCCAGTGTTTCTCAATTTTGGGAACATTAAGTTGTGCGGATTTAACTCCCAGAACTCAGGGAATTAAGATGGGATCCCAGAGTCCCTTGCTAGCTAAGGAATTCTGGGAGTTGAAGTGCATTCCTGGAGGGAGATTGACAGTTCAAAAATGTGAAAATAAATAAATAAATGTATACATGCATGTGGTTGCTTTGACTCTTTGTTTTAATCCTTCTGAACTCTTGGAAACTTTGAGTAATTTAAACTGTAAATAAATTATTCGGAAATAAATAGCCAATAATAATCAGGACTACTGTATCTACAAAAGAAGCACTTGACAATATCCAGATTTGTGTGCTACTTCATATGGGATACTGCTAATTACATAGTACTTTTTCACCGTAACACTGATCAGCATTTATATGCTATATTAATCCTTCTGGATTAGAAAAAGGATACTTCTGAATTTCAGTGACTAGCAATGGAGGAAATATTTGCCCAGAAGACCACTGAAACAAACTGGGTTTTCCTGGCCAGTAAGGGGTGGTTAACTATGCTTCAGGACATTCACTCTATTAGACTCATCCGATCTCTGACCAGCCACAATTCTTAGTTAAGATTCACCAAAAACTTAAAACAAGACAAAGGGCAGAAATTATAGTGTTCTTGGCATCCCTTTCTAGGTGAACATTCTTAACAAGCCTGAGCTGAGTTGAAGGCACTGGAGACAGAACAAAATCCTTATTGATTTATTTTAATCCAGGGTTGATTTAAATTGATGACATAGATTTAATTAACATTGCATGTAAGAAGAGGGTGGAGAAGAGGTTGTTATGGAGGAGTGATGAAAGGGCTTCAATTTTTTATTTTTTATTTTTTTTGTAGGGCAGAAGCTTTATTATCACAGCACTGACCTTGTTCTTCTTCCATTGCAGGTCACATTTTCCTTGTGATGCTGGGTTTTAAACTCTTATTGAATAGCAATTTTGGCTTAAAGGTGGGATAGAATGTCACCAAATCCAGACAGCAATATAAAAGTTGTGTGCAAGGTCTCACACATCTGTGATGTGACACCCAGAGTGACTCAGCCATTTTGTTATATAAAAGGCAGAGGAGACTGCCATTTTCCTGCAAAGATTAGCACTGGTGTCCTATGAGGGAAAGAATGCATTTTGTGTTGAAGGAACAGGTTTTGTCCTGGGATGCAATTCTACTAACATAGCTTTGTCAACAGTTAGAAAAAGCCTATGGGAAATTGTTGGCTTGGCACTCTTCTTGGTGTGGTCATAAAATACAGTAGTCCTTGACTTACGACCACAACTGAGCTCAAAATTTCTGTTGTTAAGTGAAACATTTGTTAAGTGAATTTTGCCCCATGTTACGACTTTCTTGCCACAGTTGTTAAGTGAATCACCGCGGTTGGTAAGTTGGTAACATGGTTGTTAAGTAAATCTGGCTTCCCCATTGATTTCGCTTGTCAACAGTTTGCAAAAGGTGAGCAGATGATCTTGGGAGCAGCAACGGTCCTAAGTATGAACGAGTCACCAAGCATCTGAATTTTGATCACATGATCATGGGGATGCTACAAAGGTAGTAAACGGGAAAAATGGTTGTAAGTCATTTATTTCAGTGCCTTTGTAACATTGGTCACTAAATGAACTGTTGTAAATTGAGGACTACCTGTATATAACTTTACAGATGGCTAGAGATTACCTACACCCTACCTACTTACCTACTTCATCACGGACACCCCCCCTTTAAATAACTTTTGTGGACCTTGGCCACGGACCACCAAAACATAACCCAAGAATTAAATCTTCAAGATTTCTTCACGGACCCCGTGACGACATTGCAGCCCCCAAGGAGTCCATGGACCACAGGTTGAGAACCAGTGCTGGGTTTCAAAATTTTGTACTACCGGTTCTGTAGGTGTGGTTTGGTGGGAGTGGCATGGCTTGGTGGGCGTGGCTTGGTGGGCGTGGCTTGGTGGGCATGGCAGGGGAAGGATAGTGTCATTCCCTCCCCAATCCAGGGGAAGGTTACTGCAAAATCCCCATTTCCTCCCGATCAGCTGGGACTCAGGAGGCAGAGAATGGATGGGGGCGGGCCAGTCAGAGGTGGTATTTACCGGTTCTCCAAACTACTCAAAATTACTGGTTCTCCAGAACTGGTCAGAACCTGCTGAAACCCACCTCTGTTGAGAACCGCTGACCTATGCAGATAAGCTAAAGATGATATCTACTAAGGAGGACTTGAAAGAGAAAGGAATGAAGATAAAATCTTTGCAATTAACAGCCAAAGGTGCTTTTTCAGGAGGCAACTGGACTTTCTTGTTTTTTCTTTTGAAGACGTTTCGCTTCTCATCCAAGAAGCTTCTTCAGCTCTGACAGGATAGTGGGGAATGGAAGGTTTTATATTCCTTGCAGACAGCTGGTCATTTGCATCCTTTTTTTAGAGGGTCATTGAAGCTCTTGGAGGTTTATCTGTGTCCTCAGTGCTCCTGGTTCCTGTAGACTGCAATTTTTCTTCTGGAAATCCATTCCTACTCCCACACCGAGCACTACCCTGAAGACACAGATAAACTTCCAAGTGCTTCAGGAACCCTCTAAAAAGATGCAAATGACCAGCTTGTCTGCAAGGAATATAAATCCTTCCATTCCCCACTATCCTGTCAGAGCTGAAGAAGCTTCTTGGATGAGAAGCGAAACGTCTTCAAAAGAAAAAACAAGAAAGTCCAGTTGCCTCCTGAAAAAACCCCTTTGGACAACCATGACCTGGATGACTGAGAATCTCTACAGACTTTGCAATAACAACCTCAGATAAAGACTTGTGCAGTGTAATAAATGGGACCGTTGCCGAAACGAGGCCTCTGAAACCACTCAAATTAAAATAAAAAAGAACCTTGGCTGAAAAAATTCACGGCCTTTACTAGCTAATGCTCAGGGTATGGAATATAAACACAATGAGGTTGAGCTTTTAGCACCGGAGGGCAAATATGATTGAACAAGGATGAGAGGCCTGGTGAGATGGCACCATGACCGGAATATAGCAAATTATGGATGCCACTTGTTCTAAAGACAGAAGCAAAAGAAAGTGAGGAGCATTTGCATCCATTCCTGCTGAGAAAGAGAAACGGATAAACCTGGCAACCCTGCAGAGAGCATCTGGATTGAAAAAAAGTGG